CCTTTCCTCAAAGCATGAACATACCAATCCCCTCCATCCAACCTACCCAACAGACCTCCGCAAAAATAAATAATCCAAAACAAAAACGATAACATCATTGTAATTTCAGGCATATAATGTCAACGGAACAAAAGGCATGATGAACTGTTTCATAAGAGGAAAGACCCACATACACTTGTAAAAAAAAAAAAATAGAAATCAACTTTGCTGTTGCTGTTGTCGTGGGCGGTGCTGCTGCTCTTGTTGGTACAGCTGCTGCAGTTGATGCAGTTTTAGTAGGAGAAAAAAGCTGAAAGGCCTATTATTACAGAAAAACCATTGAACATAAATAACGCCACAGCTGCCGCCCTTGTTTTTGGGAGGTGTTTGGACGATGACGACAGTGTCTTGACTCAGAACCTACAGGGCAAAATGGTTCTTGAGGGTCAGCTGAGTACACAATTCCTGATTTGCTGAAGTGTTTTAGTTAATCTCATTGCTTCCACATTCCCCCTCCCCACACACCTCACTATATTGTTTTCTGAAAAGCGTATAATGTATTTTCAGTACGTCTTCAGTCACAAAACAGTCAAAAAGAGCAGCTGCAGACACTGTCCTTTGCAATAAGGCCACATTCGGTGCTGAAGAAGTGGAGAAAAGAGTTGCAAATCTATAAAGCGATTACATCAATTAAGAATGAAAGTTTGACATCCACAAGGGCACCATTTACTCGTTTTGTTTAGTTTTTCTTTCACCACTCGGTACTGAACTTTGGTAATGGGAAGTCCAAGAACACATTATCCTCCCATTACACAGATCTCTGAGATAACGACCACTTTCCTAGATTTGAGACACCCACGTTTGAAACATACCACGACCTTCAGTCATAGAAAACAATTCCATATACTGTCAACAGTATGAAACATAATAATAATTGGTTTGAAAACATAAACGTTCACCGTCTTAATAATCCAATATCCTCTTTTACAGCAGATGTTCAACATTTTGTATTTGATTAAGATACTCTATACAAAGGGGCACACTCTGAGCTTAGCTGGTATCATGCTGAACTACAATGGAGCTGGCAGCCCTGGTTGGAATCCCCGACTGGGGGTTCTTGAACTCGGGTCGTTTTGTAGGGTGGACATTAGATTCGGAGGTTCGGCGTCTTATACGGGGTGCCCACTAAGGCTGGATCGGGCCGATCGCCCGAAACTGAAAACAAACGCGTTTGTTTTTGAGGCGATCGAGTCCGATCGGCCGATCCCTTCCGTATTAAATAACCTAACAGTGTGGGGAAAAGGCGTTATAATCCCATATACTTACTTTTACTCGGGTAAGAGGAAAAAATGAAATGAATAACTGATAAGATGAAGTCAAAATTATAATATTAGAATTTTTGCCATAGCTCTTTAAAAAGTTCAGCAGTTCTCATTTTTAACATATATACGTTAAATGACCATGACAGCAGATGCGGTGAAAAGGTCAGAGATCAGTGTGCTCGACAGTCCAATTAAGTCAAGTCTCCAGCACCGAATCTCTGAAACTTCGGATATTCAAAGAAGATTTCGCGCAGTTGCTTGCTGTCTAGACGCACGTGATCTTCAAAACTGGTTTACTGACATTTTGTATACTGGTGTTAAGAGAAAGTTTTAAAAGATGTAATTACAATTTGTGTAGTTGCGTATTGTTACTAAGGGTAAGGGTGTTATAGCTTTGTTTGAATCTCTCTTGAGTGAACTTTTTATTTTATATGTACAAGCATAGATGGAAATGTCTCAGCACCGAGAGAGGGTTAAGACTCTGTAGATCTAACTAATTTCTTGCTTTTGATTCTCGTCCTCAGTTGCAGACACAATGGTAAGTATATATTTCTGATTCATTATACTTGTGCTAACTAGACTAATTAATTAGATTAGCATCACCTGCTTCTTTTCATCCTTCCCTTTACACGAGTGACTGTTTGTGCAGCTGCATCTTTAACTCTTTGAATTTGAAGCGGTCACATATAATGTCCGATCAATAGCAGCCCAACGGAAATGTTGCGGCACATTTCAAGCCATCATACACAAATCAGAAACACAAAAGTGCATATTTCATGGCATGTATGATGTTGCACCCCCCCCCCCCTTTCGGGTACCAGATTTAGAATTGAAAAATGTGTATGATTAATGCATTTAGGCTTCTTTTTTAAAATGCCCCAAAAGATAGCTACTGTAAGAGTTGCCCAATTACCAGAATGTGCGTCCCCAATAGGTTAAAATTATTCAGAGGCATCTGTGGTGTAACGGTTAGGCTTTCTGCCTTAGCACACAAAAGTATTGAGCCCGATTCCCACATGGGAATGTTTATACTGTCAGGTATCTCCTTATTACTACTGAGATGTTGTGTCCCACTCACCCCAGGCTGTCTTTTATATGCAGGATTGAAGTAGCCGGCCTCCTAAATGGTCAAACTTGTGTCGATACAGCCGTATAACGAGTATGAATATTTACAGGCAGCTCAAAGGCTTTTTCTACGTGCCTTATATATGTATATAATACACACACACACACACACACACACACACACACACACACACACACACACACACACACACACACACACACACATATATATATATATATATATATATATATATATATATATATATAATATAATATTATATATATATATATATATATATATATATATATATATATATATATATATATATATATATATGTATAATATATATATTATTCCTTTAGTTGCTATCATCACTGTTCCCAGCCTTTTCCACCTGTCTCTTTTATCCGGGTAAAACTATACCTTATAGGATCTTATTTGACCAGGTACGTACATCCGGGGTCTCCAGTCTTTGTGGGGCCATGTTAGGGTCGCCGCTCGACAATCGCGAAAGGCGCGTTTAATTTGTAAGAATATGGATTAAATTAACGTTACCCTTAATTATAATATATAGAATGATACATTCTATAAAAAGAGTACTCATAAACTGATAGCCGCAATGCAATTGGCACCCACCTGTATTGCTACACATTGAGATTTCGGTGTAAAATTGTGTTAAAAGTAAAAGTAACTACACATTCGATGTATGCTTTGTGTAATAAGGATGAAACGGCATCTGTGGGAAGTTGGCGGATGCTCCGGTGTGCTGTGTTCCTTCTTTACTATCAAATATCTATCGTCTTTATCTCTCATCCCTTTTTCTTTGTAGGACCTCTAATCGTCGACACTTGCATTAACTAAATTTATGTTGCAACTGACGAAAAACTAAACTAAACTAAACTAAGCTCGACTCAACTCAACTCAACGGCTCACCACGGTGTGGTATCTGAGAAGAAGACAAGTAATAATTGACAGTAATGACTAGATATTTCTAATTCAGTAGCCGCTCCACGATTCCAGTGTAACCACAATTTTTGCAGCACTGATTTCTTAGTGCTCCTGTATTCTGAGCCTTACGGGGCCCCTGGATTGTAATGCCTGTTTCTCAATTATAAAAAGGCTGTAATATATTTTTAAAAATTTCTTCTCATTATCTTCAGGCTGCAGACTGCCATCCAAAATTCAAACGATTTCCGGGCCACACTGCATGTTTGGACAAATCCCCTTTGGCGAATTCAGTTGGTTTGTATTTATTTCTTTATTAACAAGAGAGGTTATACCAATGGCAATGACAATGACGATCTTTGTTTATCCCACGGTGCGAAATTTGTTTTGGTTGTTTACAATGGCAGTGGATGTTATAAAGGTTAGGTGGTCTCACGCATACACACAACAAGATAGGACGTTTAAACATGTTTTACGAGTATATGCTAAAACAACCCCGGCTCATAAAACGTTTTCTCTCTCTCTCTCTCTCTCTCTCTCTCTCTCTCTCTCTCTCTCTCTCTCTCTCTCTCTTACGTTTAAAGCGTCTGAAGCTAACGGTGCGTGTGTTTCATCTGTAGCACTGTGCGTTCAATAACTTCACTGCTATTGATACGAATGAATTATACTATACATAGAGGTCGAGGCAGTGACGTCACCCACGTGAATGAACAAGGGCTTAGGATGCCTTAATCGTGGATGTACCATCGGGCCTTGAGGGATAGAACATCATTCGAGTGAGTACTTTTCGAGAATCAAGTGGAGACGTCTATACGGACATAAGAGGATATCTACAAGCTTGCACTGAAATGTGGAGGCAGGACGGTGTTTGATTCCGATGCCTCCTGCCCGAAGAGCAGGTAGACACGTGTCGACGGGTCAAAGGTTGGGCTCACAGTCACAGTGGCTGGCTTGCTTGGCGCGCATCCAAGGACCTTACAACAAAACCTCCTTGCGCGCATCCCATAAACCACGGATGTGGCCGGCAGTTGAGATAAAATTACACAAAAGCTTGCGGCGACTCGGATTGTTCATGTAAATGTGTAAACGAGGGCTCGCAGGTCGTGCCGTTGAGGGGAAGAATGCCCCCATGTCTGACGCGAAATGCGTCACTGTCATAAATTTCATAATATTATAACATAACCTCTTTGTCTAGAAAAGAAATCAGTAACTGCTTGATTTGGCCATAAAATGTCTTCTCACGTTAAATTGTGTGTATTTATTTTTCATTATTGGTTTGTTATTGCTTAAATGCATGAATAAAGGTAGGTTTGCATTGTGAGTGTGTGTATGTTTATGTCCGTGTAGATGTGTTTGCCAGCGCGCGCGCGCGCGCGCGCGC